ATCTTCAAGAGAGAAATGTAGGGAGTGGATCAAGAGAAGGAAGACACGAATCCAACCTGGGCACCTTCTCCTAGGCACTGCCTCCTTGGAGCTAGCCCCTGACAGAATGCCTGACACGTGGAAGGTGCTAATTGCACGTCTGCTGAATGAATGAATCAGCATGACCCCAGTCGGGCTGAGCAGGCTTTGCAAGGTGTGGGCTGTGTTGTGTTTTCTGAATCAACAGGTCGTGGGGGTGGATGGATGGATGTGCTCCTGCCGGTTGCTCTCACGCTCTGCTCACCCCCATCAGTGGGAGCTGGAGCACTCTGAGTCCTCCTGCTGCACTTTGCTTTGGCTGAGCAGCAAGGTTGGGCCCTGAGGTTGGCAGGAGAGGCAGATGGTGGTTGGCGTGGGATCCTTTGCTATCTAGGGCTAAACTCTGAGCCTCCAAATCAACTTTCCCAATAAAGGTTAATATCTATTAGGGTAAGCATATTTTTGGGTTTTCTCTGGGCTGAACAGTGACCTCATCTTATGGAAAATAAAGGACTGAAGTGGTAATGCTATAATCTTCGTGATCCTAGATACATCGAAAGAAAATAAAAACGCCAATTGAGTAATCAACCCCACGCATCTTGTGTACCCCCCACATCCTAAACACTCATGCTCCAGGCTGCTGCTCCATGCCGCCAACACTAACTCTTTCAGAGATCTCGTTTGGATCCTTCCCTTTTCTGGCTGCCTCCAGTGGGAGGGGATGGCTCCCCCTCTGTTCTTCCCAGTGCTCTCCTATGGTGCACTCCACATCCTGCCTTGTATTCGAGCCCTTCGTGGGTACATTTTCCCTTCTCCTCTTTTGAACTGTAAGTTCTTAGAGGCTGTGACTGTGTCTAATTTATCTCTGAGACTCAGAACCCCTGAGAACAATGTGTGGAACATCAAAGGGGATTAATGAGCATTTCTTAAATGGGTTTAGGAATTCATGAATAAGTAAACAAACACACAGCTCTCTCAGGTATCATGGCCTTTGGGTCCCCAGAGACTGGTCTTTACTATTTTTTTTTTCCTTTCTTCCTCTTTCTGACCTGATCTCAGGTACTGACATGTCTTTGCTCCTCTATCCACCCTGCACGCATTAGAGTGTGTTCATCCCTGGCTGCACTTCTGAAGTCTGCTTTCAAAAACAGAAAGCCTGTAGACACGCAGTGTTTTCATATGTTACCGTGGTCACAGCTACTGAAGCTGAAATGTACATAACAAGCACTTATGTAGCACTTACTGTGTGCCAGGTGCTGTTCTAAGAGCTTTATACATATCAACTAACTTAATTTTCATAACAGCCCCGTAGGGCAGAATGGTATGTATGCCCACTGGGGCAGAATGCTTTGCAATTAAACCCTCTGGGGGACTCTCTGGTTCAAGGTCATGCCTTACCTCTCTAAAGCCTAAGATCCTGCCTATGACTGGACTCTTAAGCAAGGAAAATATTATTTTGACATGCAGTATGTTAATAATGGCCACACATTGCAAAGAATCCTGTCCTTAGTATTAGGAGATCCAGCTCTGCTATTTCCCAGCTATGTGCACTTGGATAAGTCCCTGACCCTCTGGGTGTCAGATAACAGAATGTGCCTCACAGTCCTGCTGCAAAGATGCAATGAGATAACACTACAGTTGGCGCCCAGGAAGTGATGGGTTGTCATACATGAATGGCTTTTAAAATATTTTAAGGCCAACTTTGCTGACCTGTGTTTAGCTGATAGCACGCTGGCATGTGGGGCTTCTCAGGCTTAGGTCTGAGAGATGCTGATTCTAGGGACGGACATTACATAAGGATGTGAAGTTATGTTTTCACCCAAGTAAGGGCTGTGAGGTATTGTGAAAGCCACCAGACTCCCAAGATGTCTGCATTGCCATAATGCTCCTCTGCTCCACTATGCATTTGCACATGGTCTCCTGCCAACTTTTTTCTTAAGAACCCACTCCCAAATCCTCTCTGCATTATGTTCCCTAGAGCGCTGCTTTGCATAAGAGTCTATTTCTTGGAAAAGCTCAACGAAGGAAAAATAGAACAAAAGGGGCTCTGATAACTTAAGCATAAGCTATCTGAGTGTAACTGGCAGAGTGGGGGAAGATGAAGGAGCAGGCCTGATGGGAGGGGCACAGGCCTTCTGGATGAGGCCCAGATCCGCAGACTTCTCAGTGATGGGTTGAAATCTCTTATGAAGATGGTCCAAGGCCTGACAGATTTGGGAAGAGCTTCAGAATGAGGGTAACAGGCAAACTGCGTCCCCAGCTTTGCCACTCGTGTCGATCTGTCTTAGTACAAACTCCCACAGCCTGTCTGGTCTGCAGCAGTGTGGACACCTTTTCTGCCTTTTCCAGAAGAGGCTGGAAGGACTGCCTACCAGTCTCCTTCACTCCTGATTGTAGCTCAATGATACACTGCAGTAGAAGGGCTGCGGGAGAAATGCTCTGAAATGTAATAGTCTTCATGGGCTTGATAAACTAGGGAAGTGCTCCGCTTGCTTCCTTAGCTCCTGTTGGGTTTCCACTTGGCAGGTCACTGCTTGCAGAAAAACATGTGGGGCATTTGGTAAGCCCATCTTAACTTGGGAGGGTGTGTGTGGTGCTGACCTCGTGCCCAGCGTGTGGGGCTGCACTTTCTGAGTACTGTGAGATGGGCTGGCTGCACTGTGGTGAAATTTAGGGCTTGGACCTGAACGAAGTCCCACAGAGGAGTAGAGGGCTGTTAACGAGGTCAGAGCCTAGGAATGTCTGGACTCTGAGGCATAGCGCATAGGGTGCTGGGCTGCCAAGCACTTGGGCTCACAGTGACATCTCACAAGTGACCAGTAGATGGTGCTCTGACAACAGGAAAATACAGTTACTGTCACTCTGAGGCTGGAAAGGGATTTTCAGATGGTCTTCAGACTGGCTTCCAATCAGAGTTATGACTAACTGCTGATTTTCCACATTTCCATTTGTGGGTCTTTAACAGGACAGTGGAACTTCGGGCACTAGAAGGATAATGCCCACCAAATTCCCTTATGAAGAGCATGACTGCAATATTCTGATCATGAACTTTTTCTGAGGATCCTCCTGGATCTTGAGGGCATGGTGCCAGGAGCACTTGGCCTCTGATCAAATTCAATTTGAGGATGGCAAGCATAGCATTTCCATAGGCTTAGTGTCATGGCATAGTTTCTTCTCTTGACGAACAATTTAGAATTACACTATTGCTGCCCTGAAGGGCAGCATGGGTTTTAGAAAGAGCTACAGACTGGAAGTCAGTTGTGTTAGAAGTCCACACTCTGCCTCTTACCAAACATGGGCAAACGGCTGAGCATTGCTGAAACCCTGCTGCTTTGTCTGTCAAATAAGGGTTGTGATACTGTGTTGCCAGGCTAAGCTCAGAAGTTTGGAGTCAGGGTCAGCTGTGGAGTTTATGTAAACTGAAAGCTATTAAGCACATATATTATTCACCATAAAAACTGTAACCACTGGCCAGGCGCGATTGCTCACCCAGCATTTTGAAAGGCTGAGGCAGGTGAATCGCTTGAGTCTAGGAGTTCCAGACCAGCCAGGGTAACATAGTGAGACCCACTTCCCCTTCTCTATTAAAAAATAAAATAAAACCAACAACTGTAGCTGCCTTGGGGGCTGGTAGAATGGGGGATTAGAGAGCATGAAACCAGTATAGAAATTCATAGATTTCAAAGCTCTCCAGAGCTACGACAGCCCCAGGTGGGGGGTGGAAGATGAGAGTGTGTTTTCCTGCTAGCACTCCTGCCCTGACGCCACGTCTCTTCCCAAAGCCATTACGCCTTTAAGTTTGCCCCTTTCCTTTTTGACTGCACCCTCCACGAATTATCCCTTTTAACTCACCTACCTAGGTGCTGAAAGTTCCTAAGTTATTCCACATTATTCCCAACCTATGCATTTATGATCCCTGTTTTTTTGGAAGGCAAGAAGGCAGCAACTCCAGTGTGTCATCATGTACACGTCATTTGCACATGTACTATCCCGTCTTGAGCATTCTAGTTCTCTAGAGAATTACAACAGCCACAGAGAACACAGGACATGGAGTACAGGATCTCTGCTGCCATCTGATAACACTGAAGAGACAAGTCAGGGGTCTCTGATGTTCCAAAAACTACACCTGGGAGGTAAAAGGCTAGTGAGCCCTGCTCATTCTGGGCGTTAACAAGAAGGTATGCCACCTCCTAGCCTGCTGAGGCAGGACCACAAAGCAAACGGGTGACAGGACAGCATGAAAGTGAAGTTCGTGAAGCTTTCTGGCCCGCGAGGTTATGCAATCTAGTGTAATCTAGTGTAAGAAGGTACATGGTTTATGTCCTCACCCATCTTGTTCATTATTGTATCCTCAGTGCCTACAACAGTGCCTGGCACGTGGAGGGTACTCAAAAATACTTCTCAACTGAATGATCTGAATGAATTTTGTGCTGTGGGTTATGGCAGTGACATACACTTAATCATTTCTAAAAGCCCTTTTTCTACCCCTATGCAGTTTACAGGAATATTGAGATAGCCACTTGGGACTAGTTCTAAGTGACTGACTGGCTGATGGGACCTCATGGTTCACAGCACCAACGTCCCTCCATTCCACTTCCGACTAGGTGTTTAGACAGAAGAGGACCCTCTGATTAAAGCACGAGGAAGGACAGAGTCAGGCAATGATGTGAAATCAAAACAACAATTAGAGCTGACTCACCTTGAATAGTAATTTCAGTGGGCTCCCCTGCATCAGAAGGTCAAACGCCTTCCCCAAGGGCAGCAGGCTGGACATGTTAGGCCATTCGTTTGGATTTCCAGTACTCAGAGAATTTTCCTTCACACACACACACACACACACACACACTTACATACATTCTCACACAATAGACACACATCAGTGCCCACATGGCCTTGCCCACACATAGACACATACCCGCAGAACACACGTGCCATGCACTTCTCAACAGTTAATCTCACCACAGGCGTGAAGCCATACTCACCCATGGTTTCCAGCCTCGGGGCTCTGGTCAGTGTCTTTGTTTCCTTCCTTAGACCCTCCTTTCCTTCTTCCCTTCCACTGCTCGGGTTGGGAGGATTTGGACAGGACTATGTGTTGAGCCAAGACAGGAAAACGCAGAGGACGGTGTACCCCACCTAGTTTGGGGATGGGAGGGGACAGCTGGTCTCTGTCCTCAGATCAAACCACCAGTCACCTGTGGGGAAGGGCTTGGCTGCTAAGCACAGGAGCATTTTCCTGGGGCTTGGAGTCCACTTTTCCCACCTCTGCAGCTCAGATACCAATTCTGTTTTTTTCTACATTAATGGGGTGGGTTTGAGAAAGTCCGTGGAGCTTACTTGGGAGTAAAAGATGGGGGGATCCTTCCGATTGTTCGGATTTCGAGAAGGTTATTTTCAGCCCATAGCTCACCATGGAGGGCCCTTCTAGGAGAGGTGGAGCAGGGCTCAGCCAGCGGGGAACCAGGAGGCCTCCCCGTGAGGGCAGAAGGTCCTGCCAGGAGCCAGCGCCAACAGCAGAGTGTGGAACCCCCAGAGGTCCCAGCCTCCCCCACGGGGCTTCCCAGATGCTAAGTGGGGAGATGGGGAGAGGGTGCTGTCTTCTTGGAAATCCCTGGCAGTGTTTGTGGAGCCTGGGAGGTGCGGAGGTGCGGAGGAGCTGCGATGCGGCCATGGAACGTGGCGCGCAAAGGCCCGGACTCCTCGCCAGGGCGGCGGTGGGCCCGTGGCACCACGCCTGGCACCGAACAGGGCACAGCCCTGGGGACACCTCTCTGCGGGGACCCAAGGCGCGCGTGCGTGTGCGTCCCACACCAGGCCCTCGCTCTCTTGCGGAGACTCCGCCGCGTCGCCGGCTGCGCCTGCCTCTCCTCTCGGCTTTACTTGGGGGAAAGGGGATTCTTCACTGGACCTTTGCAGCGGGGGCGCTACCCTTTGGCCACATAAATCAAGTAGGCAAGCCAGCCTCACCTCCCAGGAACCTCAGCCTTCCGGCTGCGTCCCCGCCTCTCCCGCCTCGCCAGCTCCTCCCCCGCTCCTCCCGGGCGCTCTCGCGCGCCTCGCTGCGCCTCTGCGCTCCGCTCGCCCTCCCCTGCCTCGCCTCCCCCCTCTCCTTCCGCATCCCCGCCAGTGCTCCGCGGAGGGCGCTGCCTGGGTGGAAGAGGAAGACCGAGCCGTTAGTGAGGAAGTTCGGGCTGTGGACAAGCGCGCTGCCAGGCCGCGAGGCTCGGCTGCAACCTGTTCCTCGCCCGCCGGTGCTCGCCGCCCGCCCGCTCGCGCTCCCGCTCCCGCCCTCTCGGCGGCGCAGCCGCGGATCGCTGTTGCATGCTGATCCGGGGAGGCGGCGGTGGCGAGCGCTCCGGGCGGATGCTGGCACTCGGGCTTCGCTGCTCTCTGGATGCTGCTCAACTTCTAGCCCAGGCGCAGGAGCTTTGAAGTCATTTGTCTCTCTCCGCTTGGATCGACTTATTTTGAGATTTTGGGCATTGCGGTTTACGCAGGAACCTCAGTATCGCTCTTCCCTCCTCCCTTCCTCTTTCTCCAACCTTTGGATGCCTCTCTGCTGGTAGATTTAAGGACCCAAGTCTTCGCGGTGGAATTTCTTAGATGGACTCGCGGGGGTTGGCGTTATAAAGCATGTCACCGTAACCCCGTCCTCGTGTTTGTTTATTTTTTTTTTTAAAAAGTTCTTTTGTTTTCATTTTCCCGTCCCTCCTACCCCTTCCCCCAACCAATAAATCACGAAACTGTTACCTAGCGGGCCGGTGCCGGCCTCTCTCCCAGAACTAGGTGGTGCGTCTGCCAGAAGAGGAGCTATGTTTGAAGAGCAGCCTACTCCACCCCTCTCCTCTGTGATCCCTGAACACCACCACACACTGGCATTTTGAAAAAAATATTTTCCTCCAGAAACTGAGCACCCCCAAGCCCTACCCCCCGTTTTTTTTTCCTTCTTGAGGAATGGAGCTTCGCAGAGGTTGCATTTAGATTCAACAGTTCACAGCGGCGGGCTGCTGCTGCTGCCTCTCCGAAGGGCTCGCGGAGCTCCCCAGAGGCGGTGGTCCCCGTGCCTGTCTGGATGCGGCTCTGAGTCTCCCTGTGTCTTTCTGCTTGTTGCTGTGTGCGGGTGTTCGGCTGCGATCACCTTTGTGTGTCTTCTGTCTGTTTAAACTTCAGGATGGCTCGCTTCGGGGAGGCGGTGGTCGCCAGGCCGGGGTCGGGCGATGGAGACTCGGACCAGAGCAGAAACCGGCAAGGAACCCCCGTGCCGGCCTCGGGGCAGGCAGCCGCCTACAAGCAGACGAAAGCGCAGAGGGCGCGGACTATGGCTTTGTACAACCCCATTCCCGTCCGGCAGAACTGTTTCACCGTCAACAGATCCCTGTTCATCTTCGGAGAAGAAAACATTGTCAGGAAATATGCCAAGAAGCTCATCGATTGGCCATATCCTTTCTTGCCCACCATAACTCCCTCTCCCCCTTCTTCGGGTGAAGCGGGGGACCTAGCATGGAATGTATCCCCCACCCCCTTCCTGGTGCCAATTTGCCCCTTTGCTGAAGCGGTGCATCTAAGGGGCAAGCTTGGTGCCTTGGAGACCGGTTTGGGCACTAGTGTTTTTTTCAAGGTAAGGCTTTTGGTTTTTTATTTTTTCTGTGTGGAAATCTCTAGTGTCCCTGGGTGCGTCCCTTTCTGGGCTGGGCTTTGTCTGATTCCCAGCCCCCTCCCCACCCCTACTCCCTTCACATGCCGCACTCTACAAAGATTGGGCTGCCCCAATGCTTCCTTTCATAATCAAGTCTCATTTTCCTCCCTTTAAGCCAGCCACTCTGCTTCTATCCCCACCAGCCAGGAGATACTGCACTGTCTTCCTGTAGGGAAGTCAAGGCTCCATGAGAGGATTTATCAGTTCGGAAGCTCCCAGAGCACTGGGCCAAAATCCTGTATACAGATAGACAAATGAATAAATAAAACAGGCTTTTGGCTGGGGACTCAGCTAACTCTGGGGACTTAAGTTTAAGTTCCACTGAAAGTGGCATGAATGAGTGTCTGTCAGGGGAGGTGATCTCTGTAGCCACGGCTCAAACAGCTCAAACTTGGAGTTCTCTTCTCAGCCAAGGAAGAGCAGCTCATCAGGTCCGTCCTTTCCTTGGTCCTGGGTTGGGTACTCTTGCTTCCTAGTGCTTGACCCAGCTGGTTGCTCTCTCAGTACCCAGGATCCAGGTGGAACTGCTGGGCCTGCATTTATCCGCCGAGGCCAGAGGTGTGCACGCAGTTTCTCTCTCCTTAGCTCCAAAGGAACTGCTCTCCCAAAAGCACTGGTGGGGGCCATCTCTGATGGTAGTGGTGTCAGGGTGAACAGGCATGGAAGGAGCTGCTCTGCAGGTTTAATCGAGTGCACCAAATGCAGGCTGCTGATTAGGCAGCTTGCTGCCTTGTTCTTCACTGAGGATTGGATGCCTGGCAAGGCCATTAGGAATTGGGGGTGGGGGGGTGGTGGTGAAGGTGATTAGTAGGAGGCAAGCTAGTGGTCTGGTGTTAAATATGGGGGTGGGTTGGAGACATGGGACTTTGGGAGGGAGATTTGGGAGGGATGTACCTGCAAAGGAGACCCCTCCTTGTCTCCCCTATTCTCCCTCTTTCCCACCCCCACTCTCCAGGTGTGCAGCAGTGAGGCAGCTGGAGCTGCCTTAAGTCCCTAGTGTTAGCCAGGCACCCAGCTCTTTTCCCCCAGGGCTTGGGCATCTCCCTACTCCCCCCACCCCAGCCTCTGGCCTTCCCCTCCTTCTTCCCTAGTTTCCTGCCTCAGCAGCTCCATGATTGGCTGGCGCGTGGTGCTTCTAGGCAGCACCCCTCATTAGAAACGAAGGAGCATCTCTAAGCAGATATTCTTCCTGCTGCTGTTCGCATCCTCCCACAGCCACCCCTGGCTGGGCTTCTCCCTCTCTCCTCCTCCCTGCACTCCCCTCCCCTGTTCCACTCCCACAGAGTGATCCCGGGCCATCCATTGCCTGAGTTGAACGTATCTAGCTAGGGTGGGGGTTTCGGGCGGGGGAGGGGTCGGGTCCCCGCAGTCACGCCTGCCGGTGCGCTGCACAAAGCCGACAGATGTCATTGTGTTGTGTGCTGCCGCCGCAAATATTCCTCTAGGCAGTCTACGGATTTCCCAGCCTGGGCCCTCCTTTCTCGCTCGCCTTCTGCAGTTCTCTAAACCTTCCCATCCACCAGGTGCTGCTTTGCTGTGCCCCTGTTTAGGGGCGTGTTTATTCAGACAGGCGCCCTCCCTTTCTTTGCGGTAGACAAAGCCGCCCAACTGCCCCGCGGGTGGCAAAGTGTGCCAACAGCCATCGCTGGCACCTCGGACAGCGCCTCCGAAACTCCCAGCGGCCCTGGGTCCCCAGTTACCCAGGTTCAGCACCTCGGGTACTTCCGGGCTGAGAAACCAGGCACGTTTCCTACAGCACGCGGTCACCTCTTTTCACGTTTTCTCTTCCGCTGCAAAGACGCCGCCTTTCTACCAGGCATTGCGAGCCCGCAAGGTGCGGCTGTCAGTCTTACTCCTCCCAAACCAGAGACTCTCGAGGGAGTTGATTTTAGCATCATGCACTGTGCCTTGGCCCTGAGCCCTGTCCCAATGGTCTCCTCTGTCTTCATAGTTGGAAATTTCACAGTGGTTCTACAGCATATAGGCTGTGGTAACAGTGTTCAGAGAACATCTGCTAAGGTGTTTAGTGGAGCCCTGTTGGAAAATGTTAAATGCACCATGTTTGCTTTTTTTTCTTCTGTACAATGTAATTGACTAATATATTCCCTCTGGTGGTGACCACGTGGAAACATTGGGTTACCATGGGAAACACACCTAAATTCCTAGTCTCAACTTCCTTTCCTTTCTAAACATCCAACTTCCCAAAATATCTTGCTTGGTCTTACCGGGAGTCAGTCTGTGTAGTGGTTGTCCATAGAGCTAGGCTGCCTGGGTTCAAATCCTAGTTTTTTCACCAGCTCTGTGACCTTGAAAAGTTACTTCCTTACTCTGTGACTCAGTTGTCTTATCTGTTAAATGAGGATGATAATAATGGGAGAATTAAATGAGTTAATATATATCACACCCCTAAAACATTACCTAATTACCCAATAAACACTAGTTGTTATTATTAATGATGTCCTTCAGAAATTTCAGCCTGCCTGAAGTTGGGAGGGGTCTTAGTTCAAGGTGAAATCTTCTAGATTCCTGCCTCTCAAAGAGAGCAAGGGGCTGCATCCACCTCACCTGGGAGCTTGCTAAAAATTCAGAATCCTGGGCCCCACTTCAATCCTGCTGAATCAGAATCTGCATCGTAATAAGATCTCCATGTGATTAATATGCTCATTAAAGTTTAGGAAGTACTTCTTTGCTCTTTGTAAAGGCCAGATTTTTTTTTTTTTTTTTAAGAAAAGAAGGTTGTTCTGTTGTTCAGAAGACATGCCAAGACCTGGTTTCATATTGACACATGCAAATCTAGCGTGCTTGGGGATTTTGTTCATATTACAACACCTTTTGAGACTTACACTTTATCATACGCTGCAAAAAGTCACTGTAGGACGAGGAGGTTGATCTATAGGCTGTGTTAGTGGTCCCTTCATGCTGCGTATTACTGGTCTTTCATCATGTTTGTCTGAAAAGATTGGTTAACTAAAAGGAATGGTTTAAGTTATGCTTCTAGGACACCCTCACCCTGACTTGGAGGGGAAGGGTAACCTTATCCAGTTATTAATAGGGGAGGTCTAGTTCTTATGGGAAGAAATACCCAAGACAGCCCAGAGTTGGCATGGAAGTTGGTGGCAAGTCAACAGCCTACTCTGAATGTGTTTCATTTTTCTTGGAAGCTACATCTGCATAGGGAGATAATTTTATTTTCTTATGGCACTTACCATACTCTTTTTAAAAATGCTAATGTGATTTAAAATGTGATGTTACATTCTATATGATTCCTCCTTTTCTTTTTTGCTCATCTAATAGAGCTAT